GACCAGGCCAGTGCAGAGGGCTTTGAAATTAATTGATTACAATGGTTACAATGTTACTGTTTAGCATTATTTGGCAAAATTGAAAGAATTTTCCGATTCAAATAAATCGTACATTTTTCATCTGTCTACTACGTTCACAGATTACTACAAATTCAGAGTATATGTCAGCTATTATATTCAGCATTTGAAGTTTTTCTGGCTCTGATCCCTGTCATCTGCTTGTTTTCCTACTGCAGTTCAGTGTCTCACTGTTCTCATGGTGGTTTACTTAAGTACAATAAACTACAATGTGACAGACACCGGAGCAGGACTTACTGTAACATTTGTACTGTTGTAATATGAACACCTAAAACAAACACCTGAAAAAAAGTCTTAGCACCGAACACGTTATGTCTCTTCTCAGTTTAACGTCACTGTGTTTACACCTCACCAAGTCACTTTCTCCTTCCAAAACTTCTTGTTGTTATTTAACCAACATTATACTTATTTGTGTGTTCAAACATGGAAATAGTTCTACACAGCTTAAGTGAAACTTTGTGTCATTGGACCACAGAAGAAATGTCTGCAATTAAATGCAATATTAGTATAAAAGCTCTGCTCACTTTCTGCTCAGCTAGTGTTGGTGAATCTTTTATGTTATCTATCTGTTTTATTTTATTTATTTTTTTGTTATTATTTTTATTTGTTTAATTCTTAGTTTTATTCCATTCCAGAGAAGTACCTGCATCGCCGAGGACACAAAAGAAAATACTAGGGATGTCTGATAGTATCGGCCAGATATTAGCAGATTTTGTCATATCTGTAAGAATCGTTATTGGTTTTTCTTCCGATAATGAAAACCTGATAACGCAATGCCTGAGTTTCGTACAAATGATGTGTGCTCTAAAAATTGTTTAATGCCCCGGCGACAGACCAGTCAGATGCCTCAGTGTTCGGAAGAACTTTTATTGAAACACAACTGCAGTAACATGTTCTAAACTCATTGCTCTCAACTCAGCTTCTTCAAAAACGTCTTTTCCTCCTCTAAGACTCTCCACACTCTCTTTTCCTCATACACGCGCTCACACCGCCACCTCACTCCTCTCCCAACTGTTAACTCCTTCATAACACATGAATACAGAACATTATGAGCGATAAAGACGCCTCTTGTCACTAGATGGCAGCATTGCAGCTCATTTTATTAGTCTATATTGATAATCGGGAGGTTGTATTCAGAACGCTGGTGCCAGCAACTCTTACACTGGTTTGTACAGATAAATACATATTACCAGGAGCTCAATAGTATTTCAATTCCGGCCCCTAGGGGGCAGAAAATAATTGAGAAACCCATCACCTTAGTGCGCATGCAACACCTAACTTCAACCACTGCCCCGCTATATCGGTATCGGATGACATCAGAATCGGAAATTAAGTGTTTGGACAATTCTGAGTAACGAATATCGGCAAAAAGATAGATTGATATCGGACATCCCTAGAAAATACCCGTACTCGTATTGGTTTGTAAAAAAAAAATGTCATCAGGACAACGCTAGCCTTGTGTTGTAGAATATCGGCAAAAAGATAGATTGATATTGGACATCCCTAGAAAATACCCGTACTCAGTACGCAGAAAGTCTTGATTGTTATTTTCGTAAACTGTTTTTATTTGAAACAGATGCAGATCTTGTTTAAAGAGGATGTAACTTCCTTGAGCTTGTTTTTGTAATTATCCTTATGTAAAGATGCTAACGTTATCTTCATGTTTTATGGACTTCTGTTGACTTTGAGTAGTTAAATAAATACAGTGAGACCTTTTACAGTAAAGGCTATATCAGGGCTCCTGTCCCCGTGCAGACAACAGGATGTGGCCCTCTTGATTCTGTGTTGACACTATTGGTTTCTGTCTATCAACAACCTGAGCTTCTATTTTTGCTCCTGAATGCGTTTCTTCCATCCATATTAAACAGATTAGACCTCCTGCCATTGTCTGTCGTTCTACTCCTCCACATTCCTCCAGTGATTCCTCCTGAGGGAATGGATTCATTTAGCACACATTTTCCTGTGTTGTCTTCATTGTTTGTCCTTCCTGAGATACACTCCCTCTGCGGACCGTACAGAGCCACTGAGTTCACGTCTCCACTGTAAACTCACTGAGTGAACCAGAGTATCACCATCATCACTGCTGCAGAGCACTGCTGTACATGCATGTGTCCATCACACAGTAACTCTTCCTGGTCTGGTGTTTTCACAACTGCTGTTTGGCCCTGGTGTTGCCGTTAACATTGACGAATGTGTTTTCGTTTGATTCGGCCTTGTTGTTACAGTTGATGGTAAAATAAGGGTTGGGTTTCATGGCCTCTCTGCCCCTCACTTCTCATTTGCTCCGGTTATGTTTGCTTTTTTGGTTGCGGCAATAAAACACAAGTGACGTGAAAATGATTTGGACAGAACCACACGGTCGTTTCTTTCTCTATAAGATCTCGTTTCAGCCGCTCTGTAGAGGTCGTCGACCTTCTTCAGGCTATGTTGTTTGTCTAACAGGAAGTAGGTGTCCGTTGTTTACTGAGGGGAACATTTCACACTGTGACACAGTTCTACCAAAGGCTCTGGTCAGTAAGCTCATACTAGTAAAATAACAGCACCACCGTGTGTCCCCTGGTGCCTCACAGCTGCTCTCAGGCTTCTTTTTGATTTGTCTCTTGAGACGCAGCACCATCTGCTGGTGAACTGGAAATCACACACAGATGCACATTGAGTCAATGGACTCGTTTGTTTGGGTCAAATGATAAATTATTTGTAACTGCCACAGCCCTTTGTCTTGTGTTGTTGTTGTCTTTAAATTAAAATTGAATATTTTATACAGTATATCATCAAAATAGATACTCTGGTCAGTGCAACAAGTCGACCAAAATTTAAAATGACAGGTTAGCTTGTATTGCTGGTCTGTAATTCTTTGGGATTTGGGAGGATATTGGAAGTGCTTAAAAGATCAAATGCTTTTCCAAAATATTTCCATTTTCACTCCTGTATAAAATAATACAAATTTAATTTTTTAATTTCTTTGTTTTGTTTTTTGTTAAATAACGTAAATTGTAGAATAGACATGGATTTGCACAGATCTCTTCAGTGAAACTCCCGTTGAAAGACAAATTAACTGATAGTTCAGACTGGATTTTTCAGGTGGGCAAATCTTCAAAACGTCCCCCTGAAAACACCACAGAAATAAACCCAGGTGGTGAATGGCTCTTTTCTTTAATCCCATTTGTAGGGTCAGCACCTTCTGGAGGCTTCCAGTGTGTTGTATTGAACTGGGGTGTGTGTGCGGGGGGTGTTTTTTCTTAAAAATCCTCTTAGAAGTCAGGTCATGTGGTGTCCAGAGTGTGCATGGAGAGTCCAGGTTTTTCACAGGCTGCCTGGAGTCACTCAGAGATGCCCAAAGGGAGCCTGTCCTAAAATTTGTTATACTTTTTTTTTTTAACAAATCCAAT